GGGAGAAGGGAGCGGTGGCGGCGGCACCCGGATGTGGGGCGACGCGCCTGCGTGGTGAAGCCGCGGGTTCCCCGCCGCCCCTAACGGTAACGGCCGCCTCCGCAGGTTTTGAGAAGCCGTCGGCCATCCAGCAGAGAGCCATCAAGCAGATCATTAAGGGGAGAGACGTGATTGCCCAGTAAGTGGGGGCTGCCGGGGAGGGGGCGGCCTGCTTGGGAGTGGGAGGGTTGTGGGCCCTGGAGAGCGGGGGGTGGTGTCAGACACACTCTGATGCTTGTTGTAGTAGTGTTCGGCGGTGTGTGTTAGTGGCTGTTGTCGTGGTGTTACACAAGAGAGCCTGTCCAAGCATATATTGCTCCTCAGCAGTCATATGATTGAAGTAGTTATTATCCCATGATGTGTTGTATATGAACTCACTTGGTAGCTAGGCAGCTTAGACTTTAGACAGAGTGTCCTCTCTGTCTTATCTCCATTGATGGTGTCTGTTATGGATGCTTCAGAAGTAAGTTGGAGTACCCATCAGCTGGAAGCGAGCTCAGGCACCCATGGTCAGCAGCATTAGGGAAATCGCATCACCAGCGATATGGGGTGAAATTGGCTAACTTGCACAGAGACACTGATCACGCAGTTGTTAAATGTCAAAGCTTATTAGATTTAGGTTTGTCACTGTAATAAATGAATAGAGCTCTGAGACTTTTGGGAATGTTTTCCAGCAAAGCCAGAGAAGTATAGAGACAACTGCAGTATCAGTGAAGGGAAAAAGTAGCAGAAGAAAATCTGTTCTGTCTCTAGAGACAAAGGGGTGGTAAAGAGCAGAGGGGTGGAATACATTGAAATTGCCTATATTGTTTGTCAAAACATCTAGAGTATTCATCAAACGTCTGTTTCTCAGGTCACAGTCAGGAACAGGGAAGACAGCAACATTCTCCATCTCTGTATTGCAATGCCTGGATATACAGGTAATTTCATAGCACATGCTAAAAATTATTTTCAACTAAATAGGTAAAGTATTCATCGTAAAAGCATTTGTTTTTAGAGTGAATAAACGAAGCTTTACATTGAAGTCTTTTATTTCTGGGCAGTGAACTTCTGACAAATTTCTGACTGAAAATTTCACCAGACTTTACTCTGTAATAATTTAACTGTTTAACCTGGCAAAATAAGTTCAGATAAAGTCTTGTAATTATGAAGTTGGCTTTAACAACTGACCTCTTTCACATATTAGAGGGCTACATTATCTCTCAGCAGGCAGAATTGTCCTCGAGCAGGTCCTAACAGTATCAGCAACCTGTCTGAATTGTTGGCACATGTTGCACAGAACCAAACCCAGACTTTTGACTTATAAATGCTTGCTTTTGTTCTAGTCAGGGATATCACGTCCATCCAATTGTGTTTTAAATATAATTTGAATGTGTAGATGCTGTTGAATGAAATGATGATTTTCTATGGGCCATTACTCTCTTAAATAAAGCTTAGATTGTTATTCATCTGTCACTGCCTGGGGACATAAAAATAAACGTTGCATGTTCTAAGTTAAAAGGTCAGCTTTATGCTACATTTCTGTAAAATGCTTATAATATTTTTAAAACCTGACACTTTAAAATGTTATCATGGAATCCTTGTGCAGTGCAGGGTTTTTTATCTGAACTGAACATACAAAATTTAAGTTATTTAAATATTGTTTCTATTCTTTTGCAAGAAAAGCACACGCTTTTATAATTGTTTTCAGAAATAAAGTTGGAATAAAAAATGAGCTATCAAAAAACTACTTAAGTGCTGTCTTGTCAAAAGTAACTTAATTAAGAGGCTGTCACTGTATAAATGCGCCATGTGAGAGCAGCTTTCTGGCTGTACCGACCGTTGCAAGTGCTAGGCTTTAGCACAAAATTCTGTGATTAATTCTTCAGATGGGACATTTCGGAGTACCATGGGATCTGTAATGTCTGTTATGCTTGGATAATGTCTGCCCTGTGATTAGCTGCTGTGTGATCACTTGTTTTAATCAGGTTCGTGAGACCCAGGCATTGATCTTGGCACCCACTCGGGAGCTGGCTGTACAGATTCAGAAGGTAGGAGCATTTAAATCGCAAGCTGTAAAGCACTCACAGGGCCTGGGGCCAATTGTCAGGTATTCCCCAGCAGAGCTCAAAGCACAGCTCCTGCTTTTTCTTTCTCTTCCTGAAAGGAATAAGAAATTCTGACAAAGGGCTGTTCTGTTTTGTCTCAACAAAAGCCTACTGTTTTGTGTCAACAGACATAAAACTCCCTCTAACTGCTTATGCTTACATCTCTCTAAAAGCAACACTCTGTGGTGGTGCAGATGTGCATCTCTTCACAAATACAAACTTCATGAGAACTCAGTTAATTAAGCCATTTGTTTGTATCAACACAGGGTCTTCTCGCTCTGGGAGACTACATGAATGTCCAGTGTCATGCCTGCATCGGAGGGACCAACGTAGGTGAAGATATCCGAAAACTGGATTACGGGCAGCATGTTGTTGCTGGCACTCCAGGCCGTGTGTTTGGTAAGGAGATGTAGGAGGCTGGATCACCTCCAGCTTCTGACCCGATTTGAGCCATGGGAGCCTTCTGCAACTTCTGTGCACTTAGATTTGAAATAGCATAAAAATTACATTTATGTAACATTAATGTGAAGTATAACAAGGCAACAGCTTACTGTAGTAGTATCTGGAACAGAGCGGAAAGAAATCAGTGAGGATAGTATTTGCATTTTCTCTGTTTATGTTTTGCTTTTCATTGTTCAACTGTTTATATGCTAACATGGGAACAAAGAATATTTTTTTTAAGCAGAAAATATTACTATGCCAGGAGATACTTCAGAATCTTGGAGGAGATAGAAGCTGGGTCTATTTGAATGTCAGGTCCACGTTTTCTGCATACTGGCCATTGCTTTCTGCTAAATCAGGGTCACTTGCAAATGGTAGTTTCTGGTTTCATTGCATGAAGATTTATCTCTATGGCAATTACAAAATAGCGATAGTGTTATACTTCAAGCTCACGTCTTCTGGATCTCTGAGAAGCAGGCAGCACTTTCTTACTTAAGCAGCTGTCACTGTGAGAACATAGAGCTAGTCTCCAAAAGCAGGGAAAAACCAGACTGGGCTGGTTTTGAACAGCACACCAGTAGCAGGAACTTTTCTATCACAGTATTAAGGGATTACACAAAGCCGTGTACTCCTTCAAACAGGATATGGATTTGCCCAGTCGCTTAACAGAAAGTTCATGTAGCATTTTGCATTTCTCACATCCAGCTGCAGTTGCCACGGGAAACTGAGTCACTTGTGCAGTTAGCAAATAGCATCCCACACCTTGGGCTCTCAGAGCTTCCCTGTAGTCAGTGCTCCTTCAGCCAGGCTAGAGAGACATTCCCCTAGGTTGCAGGGTGCAGTGGGCACGCTGCTGCCATTGGATGTGCTTTATGTCACCAAACAGCAGTCACTGGTGGCAGCAGAGGAAGTGCCTGTCCCTCCTCCACCAAAATGCCGTGACAGTGGCTGGGAGCGGTGTAGGCTCACTTGTTTTCAGGGCCTTTTAATCTTACAAATTGAAATCTTACAGATATGATTCGTCGTCGAAGTTTAAGGACTCGTGCCATCAAAATGCTGGTTTTAGATGAAGCAGATGAAATGCTCAATAAAGGTAAAATATTTGTCTCCCATTTAATTCTTTTCTCCTCACCTCCTTGAGATTCCAGGGTGTCCCAGGTAGCAGTCCTACTTCTAAAAGCAATTAGTTAGATTATTATAGTTAATTATAGGCTGTAGCAGGTTAAACTACTGAATATATCTTGTCTGATTTAGTTCTAGCGCCCTTTACAGTAGTTGCAAATTCTTGCGCACTGCCTTTCATACTTCACTGTGTACCACAGACACGTTATAGTGGTTTGGGAAAATTAGTAAGAGATGAGCAATGTGTTACACTGGCTTTCAGTTACCATTTCACTCATTAACATTCATCTCATAGCATAGGCACAGTACTGAATTCCAGATCAAATTGTGAAAGGGCAAGATACTCAGGAGGAAGGTGTGCTAACTGTTCTGTGCTACGTGATTTGCTTTTCAGGTTTTAAGGAGCAGATTTATGATGTGTACAGGTACTTGCCTCCAGCTACACAGGTGGTTCTGATCAGTGCCACTTTGCCTCATGAAATTCTGGAGATGACCAACAAATTCATGACAGACCCCATTCGCATCTTGGTGAAACGGTGAGTTTCCTTGGAAAGAACAGGAGCTCTTGGTCCAGCCCTGGCCAGTTCATAGTATTAAGTGATTTAAATGTGCAGAGTCTCTCTTATGTTCCTTCTCACCCTTGCAGTTTGCCTGTGTGTTTGCAGCCTCGTGTCCTGTTTCCCAGCAGAGGCTGACTTGTCTCTCTGACTTTATCCTTGTCCAGTTCTGTTTGCACCCGCGGGTGCTGAGGGAGCTGGCTG